CAGTGACCTGTCACAAACATCAAATGAACAGTGCAAAAAGGAGAAATGTTGTCGAGAGTATCGTATTGCCCACATTCGATATTATGGTAAGAGGTACTGTACAGTCTAACTTTTCCAACGGTACATCAACTAATGAAATTCCAGCATAAGCAGGTGGACTGGCTCGATGACATGAGAGCTGATGCTTGTCACGAATCTGAAAGGATCAATTAAATACTGCTAGCACCTTTTTTTTTCAATTAAATTTTTCTCATTTGATAAGATATAAGACAATTTCAATAGCTCAATCAATTAAAATTATGCATATCATTTCTCGTCTTCTGATATCTATCTGAGCATATCTTATCAAAAAATATTGAAATACATGCCTTATCAGTACTTCGAATCCATTTGATGTAATCAATACTTTCACAGTTGCAATGAAACGAATTTCTTAATAACAACGAATTTGGCTGTGCAAATCTGCCGATTCCTTGCCGAAATCCTTCATCCAGTTGACGAATATGATTCCTAGATGTAGTTGAGCTTAATAATGAAAACATAGTATACGGATTACTGGATGGTATTTAAATCAAACATCAGAAACTGAGTTTGATTAGTCATTAAAACGTGAAGCAGTGGACACGTATCGACAGAAAAATTTAATATGAGAAGGACCAAACAAGTTTCATTCACTTTAAAGCAGAAATTCTTTAAATTTGCTCTGAAGAATTGTACACAAATAAATTCAAAAACCACTTCAAGTAGCAGAAATACTTCAAAAAAAAAAAAAATTTCATTTTTCATTTAATTTGAAGAGCTTCTTTTGAAATGCAACATGAATAAATGAGAAATGAAAAATTGTTACCTGCTGAGATCAATAGTCTCAATTCTGGATAAACATGTCGTATTAAGATTGATCGTTTGAAGAAAATTTTGGCGCAAATCGAGATACTTCAAGGATGGGAATGGACAAGGTAAGTTGTAGGGTAGTTTGGTAAAATAGTTGTAACTCAGATCAATGTACTGCAATAGTAACGCAGTAATGATTTTTCATTCAACGAAAAATGACGGAAAGAAAATTCAAATATTTACATTTCCCAAATTCATTACTCTTATACCCAAATTCATTACTCTTATACCCAAATTCATTACTCTTATACCCAAATTCATTATCCTTATACCCAAATTCATTACTCTTATACCCAAATTCATTACTCTTATACCCAAATTCATTATTCTTATACCCAAATTCATTACCCTTCATTCCACAAGGAAATGATACATAGCTTCAAAGAATTCATCGAATCACTAACACTATACAATCAGTCAGTGTTTTGTGCTTTTCGAAAATAGCAAAGCATTTTGAGATGGCATAGAGTTATGTTAGTATCAAAAAGATATTTTAAATGTCAATTTGAAAAGAGAAGCTTACATTTAGCTCTTCTAAATTAGCTTTCCTGAACATTTGCATCATCAAAGAAAACTGTACGGTACGATTGACAAGCAGTGTGAATGCTCGTCTCAAATACAGCTGAAAAAAAATGTGCATATTAGAGGACTGAACCAGCAAACAAGTTCAAATCAGTCTTACATTAGTATTTCATATATTGAAAAATTAATTAGGATCAAATTGAAATTAAATTAAAATTTATTCCACCTCGCATGTTCAGAATTTAATTTCAAAGTTGTAAAGTTCTTAAGTGACAGCGATAAACAATTACTATGAATTCTCAAATAGAATACAGATACTACGATACAGACTTTGAGTGAAGCTTTTTTCAATATATATGAAGCAGTCTGCCTTGCATACCTTTCCAATTATATCTTTGAAATGTCCACTCACCTGTTTCAATTTTGGAGTGTGTGACAGGAAATTGATATCCTCTTCTTTGAGCACAATTTCATTATTACTCAAATCGAGCACCAATAAATTTGGCATTCCTCTCAGTGCATTCGAGTGCAAATTCACAATGTAATTTGCTGAAATATTCAGCACCTGCAAAATAAAGCGAATAAATTTAGTTAAGAAATTAGCTCTTATTGCATTCTTATTACTGCCCTTCAGAAACTGAAGATGAAATGAAAACTGAGTGGAATAGAAGAGCTCAACTCTATCAACCACTTGTTTATTTGAAAATTTAGTAAGCAATGCAAGAAAATTTTGATAGCACATTTCTGTATGACAGCATCTCGAATTACCTCGATATTTTCATGTTTATTTCGTCCAAATAACGGACTGTTAGGAAGATCTTGAAAGTTATTCCCATGAAATGTCACTTTCCGGAGGTGCCTGAAAGTGAAAAAAGAAACATTTTCGTCTTACTGGAAAAGGCAAATAATATATGGAATTTTAATCACTATTTACCCGAACTGAGAAAAAGACTGGATTGATTGCTGTATACCTGTAAAGATTATTTACATGGAGGAAAATATCAGTATCAACAAATTGAGCATTTATGCAAGACAATTCACTGTCCTGCTCCCGACATTGACAAGCTGCGTAATCACTTAGCGATCCCTGGCATTGGAAGCGTGAATTTGGATCCTAAAAGTCAAATTAATGAATACTTTCTCGACAACAATCACTTGGACACATGCAGTAAATGACCACTGGCTATTGTAGGTTTACAGAGTTAAAGAGAAAAGAGAGAAATTGTCACCTCTTCCTCCGAAATAGATTGTCGCTTGGCTTCTACTGCACCAAAGACGCAGAAAGCCAAAAAAAACCGAACTACATGCAACAATGCGACAGTGAACTGAAAAAAAAAAAAATGTATGGATTGGCTAGGTCAGTAGAGATAGAGAATGATTCGGATCGAGTCAGATAGTTGAAGTTTACTACTTAACTTTACTCTCTAATTAGCAGTAGAGTTATTTGACTTCAGCAGATAGATGTGTCTCTATCTCTTCTTGATCTCTTTTCAGCTTTTCATTGGAAATGTTGACAAAATGAAATTCCTGCAGATGTAGTAGTGTTGTTGTGTCATTATTGGTGATAGAAACGATGGGTATGCGACGGGAGACAACAGCTAACCTTTGACATTTTCCGTTCTCTTCCAAAAATCATCTCAAAACTAGGAATACATTTCCCTCCTTTAAGTTAACTGGGTGGGATATGAGCTTAATAATAAATACCCAACTGATGCCACCTGGTAAAGCTAGGTAAATTTTCATTCATTAGCTAACTTATTCATTAGCTTGTAAAATGATTAAATCGAAAAAGAGAAATTCACTAGTATAATTCTTCATCCCACAGTTTATCAAATAATAATCCAAGGCACTCTGCAAAAGTTCAGAGATGACACTACTTCCCTGCCCACTTTCTTCCCTGATACCAACGATACCTACCTTCCTTCTTACCCTGCTCACTTCCAACCAGATAGTCAGGCAGACATCTACATAAATGATATGAGAGGAACTGCTGTTGTCTTACTTGCCCTGATGTTATGGCCAGAAGAGGAAGGCAGGATCGATGCACGCCTAAGCAGTAAGCAAGCAAGTAACTTGCTCTATGCCTAAGGACTGAAATTGATAATTGATAAAGAAGCAAGCAAGCACATATCGACCGATCGATGGATAGCTGTGAAAGAAATGGAGAAGGAAGACTGAAGGGAGAGTGTCACCATAGCATTGTCGAAATTATTTAAGTAAACTGATAGTTGGCTCTGGTTGGTGGTGGTGGTTAGCACTGCGCCACTGCAAACTTTGTTAAACTCTCGAATAGCACTAACGATTCCGAATCTTCCAGGCGAACAAGGATGCAAAAAAAAGAGAGAGAAGAATAATTGGAGTTACATATACCAAAATTGCTTATCGGAGAGGAACTGATGAGAAGAGATGACTAAGTATTTCATATAAACGAATTTAATCACTTGCTAAGCTTAAAAGTATTTATCTTCAAACAACTGATAAACAACTGATAAAAAGATTAAAGATAAGGGATAACTATTATAAATTACACCATCATAGCAAATAATTTTCCATTCAGTACTTTCTTTTTTTTGCAGGCAATTTTGCCTCCTTTGAAATGATCGAAAAAGCATTCTAAATATTTAGGCAAAACATTTGTGCTTTAATAAAAAAAAAAAAGCCTACCATTATTCCGGTTCAAGACATTTCATCGCTCTTTCTGCTATTGCTTCTTTTTTTTTCCTGGAAGCATTTCAGCTTTCTTTTCAGAAACTGATCAAATAGCAATAAAGTTTGAACAGAAAGAAAATGATTATTCAAAATTCAAAACATTCCTGAAAGCTGTACATTCCATGAGAAATCAATAGAAGTAATATTGAAGATGACAAGTAATCCTATATAAATACAGTATGTAGCATAAGAGAGTGCAGTACTGACAACGTTGACAATGAAATGGTGACAATGGTGACAATGGTGACAATGGCGGAAATGAGACGATGGCGACGATATGAAATGAAATAAGGGAAGAAGCGCCTACAACCACCAGCTAAAGTGCTTTGTGCTCTTTTCTAAATGAAACTAAACAAGACGAATAGTAATTTCAACTTTTTGCATATTCTCACTTTGCACTGCAAACCATTTCAGTATTCTACCCGCGGGAGAAAGGGGGGGAATTACCTGACAGGTAAGGGTAATTGATTATATTAAGTCAAAACAATGCATTGATTAATTATTTAACGATGTTCTGTAGTGCAAATAAACTTAAAGATACATCGCTAATAGAAAAGAACTTTCAGTACATATTAAAGACAGAAAATATGAACGAAAGAATTTACTTTGAACGAATTACTTTAAATGAATGAGCATAATTTTGCGGGAAAACAGATAGAAATAGAAGAATTTAAAGCAATTAATAGTAACTCATGAAAACTTTCCTTTTGTTAGCTCAGTGTCCAGAATCCATCCAGAAAAACGGAATCATTGCTAAGTGAGAGAATCCCACTCCACCGGAGACACACCCTAATCAGAAGCGGCCAAATCTGTTGTTAATTGTTACGGCCAAATCTACTTGTAAAGATGTCATACTAACAAACTAACATTATGCAAAGATGAGAAGAGTAGAGAAGTTGAGAGGACTGTGTAATTCGAAGTCACTCACTCAGATTGGATGGATTTCAAAGCAGTTCCGCGCGGAGACACATCGAGTAGCAGTGGCAGGAGAGGGTGCAGTGAAACGGAACGAAAGCGTTTCGCTCTTCCTGCAGACATTACTGCTCGTTTCATGCACCACAAAACTTCATTTCCTGACCAGCAAATTGCCGGATGGCTGGAAGGAAGGAAGGAAGGAAGGATGGATGGATGGATGGATGGATGGATTTACTTTCCGAAATAGGAAGAAGCCATTAGGAAATAATTCATCCGTACTCCTACTGCTTTATACTGCGTGCTGCTACTTTCCTCTTCATTTTTGCTACCGCAACTCTCAGTAAAGTTATCGAAATATAATTTCAAAATTCCGTTAACAATTTTAGTCTTATCGTTCCGCTTACTGAATGAAAGTAGGCTAGCAGTAACACCGGAATTGCTATAGCATTCAGGTAGAGTACATTCCTGAACAAGGCAATGATAGAATGCAATATGTTAGCGAAGATGATTCACGATATGATCTTTACACTTCCATTTTAGATTGCACAACCTGAACTGTCCGATTTTTACAACCGGTAAACAGCTTCTCAGCTTCATTTCAGTTTACATATATTGTCGATGTTTTTTCCGCAAACATTCATTCTACCTCGGAATGTACTCATTCGATAGAGTTATTTGCGAATACAGCGAAACGTTTATGCAATCTGAATGAGAAATTGAGAAAACAAACTTTCAAATGCTACACATTTACCAGTCGAACTGAAACAGAAAGCAGTTCCGGCACATGGTTATATTCCGGCGCATTTTATTCCGAAATTATGCAAATGTAAAACGAATTGCTGTAAATGAAAGAAAAGCAGAACAGGCGACTGAACAAAAGGGAGGGGGTGTATGTAGAAGGAAGCAGTGAGGCGCAATTATCCTTCAAACTAATTATCGATCAAGAATAGCTTTAGTTAATGAATGAATGATTGATTTATTGATTGATTGATTGATCTGCGGAATGAGTGAATGAATGACTAAATGAGAACTGCGATCAATTGACTGAAGGAGACATGACAGTAAAGCTTTTCATTTTTAAAGAGCTAATCGATTCACTATGTCTACATCTTCTGAAGGTGTAGCTTATCGCAAGCGGATGAAGACCTCAAATCAATTCTTCGTCTCGTACGTCGCAAATGCATCGCAAATGTAGCGATATGTGACACTGACTAGCAGAGCTTGCAAGGATTTGCAAATTTGCAACATTCGACAATGTTTCAGTGAAGATAGGACGAAATCATAAGTAAATAATTATTGCGCTTTTATAATATAGAACTAACTTGACAGTTGCGCTTTTATAATATAGAACTAAGTTGACAGTTGCGCTTTTGTAATATAGAACTAACTTGACAGTTGCGCTTTTGTAATATAGAACTAAGTTGACAGTTGCGCTTTTGTAATATAGAACTAAGTTGACAGTTGCGCTTTTGTAATGTAGAACTAACCTTACATATGTCATAGCAGTTCTGTCAAAAAATCATTTCGAACGTGCATGAAATTAAGCAAATTTGAGTTGCATTTATATGTTCGCTTCCTTTTATGATTTCAAATTTCTTGGATTTCGGTCTAAATTCTTTCCTTTTGACGCAAACGGAAAGAACTGAATAACACTGCAAGAGACAATAAATATCAACTTCAACTACATTCAGTATTTAAATTTATACTTAATTTATAGATAGATAGGTAAATACTTAAATTTTATTAGCAGCAAAGAAAGTAATTTAAAAAAGCGGAAAAGACATATATGCAATATTTATTAATGTATCGTGTCACGAGAATGTCATAATATCATGTATTGAAATAATTATACGACAGGTTGTATAGATCACTTTTATATTGCAAAACAAACTCATTTTTATAGGTTATAACGATAGTTCAAAAAGTAATCTAATCTGCGTGATCTGAAGTTTAAGTCTAAGTTTAAAGCTCATTTTTGACTTTTTCTCTTCTCTTCTTTTCATCTATTTCCGGTTATAAGAAATTGTTAGCATCAAAAATCACAGCTAATGATATAAGGTAGAGATTTTGAAGACGGGTAATCCCTCCACTTTTCATTACCACTCTTTATCCTTCCCGTGGCACGGGTATTCTTGATCTCTTTCATTCTTTGTCAATCAATCTTGCAACATGTGAAAACAGTTGATTGAAAGCTGTTTAATTCATATACTAGAAATTTAATTAGTAATTATGGAAATGTACCTGTCAACAGAAATAGCTATCTTGTGATGACAGTAAGGTATATCATATCACCGGTGAAAATCATTTGCAGTTTAATCACATTTTTAGTTTGAAATGTGTTGCATCATTTCTTGTTGTTATTGTTTAAAACTAAACTTTGATTTGAATCTCTTTTCAGGTTTGAGAACCTCTTTTTTTACTTTATTTGTCTTATTCCATCTTTATTTCAAAAATATTGAATCCAACATTGTAAGTAACTCTTTCATGTGCAGTAATTCCTTTAAATTACTTTTTCCTTTATTAGGCAATTTTATAATTAGTTTCAAATTTTCAATTAGAAATCAAAAAGGAGTTAGAAGTCACTGCAGGTTTTGATTCGAACGCCTAAATCCAAACTTTAGATTGCTAGTCTAGGCCAAATCTCACAATTGCAAACAATCCAGACTTAATCATGAATTGAAATCTAAAATAAAACCTAAATCATCGTAGTAAGCGATCAGAAACTCAACAACGATTATTGAAAAGATGAAAAGTATTTCAAATTGAATTCACTTACAAAAAATTCAAACTTTGGCTTTTGGATAAAAGAAATATTTACTGATGACAGGAACTTATCTTTCAATAAGAGAGAACAAATAATTTCCTTCCATTTTAATTAATTCATATCGAATCTGGCATCTATTCACTTCTCTTCATGAAATAAACTAAACAATCTAATACTAAAGACGAAGTGAGATAAGAGATGTGACAAGAGAGATACAGTGATTTACATAGTATAGGACAGGACACATTAAAAAGTCAATCCATCAACTTTTATTAAATTAAGATGAAATTAAAATTGCACTGCAAAAAGAATTATAAAGTAAACAAACCATGTCTAAAGCAAATAAATATACATTTGGAAAATTCCGAATAATTCCGAAAAGTTTTAAACTTTTCAAATGCAATTTTCTAGTAGTGTTGTAACTTCTTTGATTGATTAAAGGTATACTTGTTTTGTCATCATGAAATGCTACAATTAATTTATTCAGTGAAGCAGTCTCCACACATCCGACCGGCAGACTAATGGAATACTGAAATGGTTTGGTAATTCCGATTTTGTACCTGAATTCAAATAGAATGGGAAAGGATTCAGGTATGAGAGTCGACTTCTTCAGTCTTAAAAATATGCCTTAATTATTATTTAAATTCATTGTTCGTATTCATAAACATACTCTCGATAATGACACTCATAATTTTGCTCTTTTTAAAATTCAAACATTTGCTTTTGTAATTAGCACTTATTATACTGCTCAGTCTTGAATAAGTAATTCGAGAAATATTTATAAAAAAATATTAGTGCCATGAAATCTTGTCACATTCATTTCAAATGGTTTGGAACACAAAATGTTTGATCTTTTTTGGAGTAAAATCTTACTTTTAATGCTATAACCAAACAAAAAATCATTATGCATTCCGGTATTCGAGGATATTTTAGCTTCTGCTAAGTACTTGCCCCCCTCTCCTGTTACTTTGACCGGAAGTAAGCTGAAGAAGACTGATTAAAATGATATGTTGTTGTGAACTATGAAAAGTATCAGATGATTCATCAATGTCGAGAGTAGTTTGAAAGAAAGTGTCACTCTCACCAGAAGCGATGCTGAACAGAAGACTGAACCAAATGACAGGGTCATAGGTCACAGATGCACTGAACAAGAAGTGAAATGACAGAAATACTTGAATGAACGGAAGTGAGTTGGAATGAGGGAGAGAGACCAAAGAATTTAGTCTGTCCAATTTAGTTCCCATATTTCTTCTCTTGCATAGAAAGACCACTGTCTCTCTCTCTCTCTCTCTCACTTTATCATTAGCACTTCCCCACTCACTGTTATGTATAACCAGGATACAAACTTAAATCAGATGGTCGGTCAGTCCTCTTCCAAATCAATTCTTTGTACTAGGTAACTTGGTAGCTAATTCATGTTAATCCAAAATACTTGAGAGGAGCGGCTGATTTGTATGTTATAACTGAGCTATAGATAGATACATTGGTTTATTCTATTCTGCCATCAGACATTCGAATATGCTAGAATCCTAAAGCAGATTGTAACTATGGAATAATATGTTTTATTATTGGTTTCAAAAAATTTCTTTTACACAATCACTTTTAATTGATTCAAAAGAGGAAAGCATTTGAGTTAAAATAAGTCATTGCACTGATCGAAGTTTCGTTTTTTTGCTTCTCTTTTTCGTCAAAAAAATTGATTTATTTTTATAATACATATGCATATATAATGTATTCTTTTGAGTTGGCTAAATTAGTGCTAATTAAGAACTCTTTTCTATTTCAATTGTGCCACTCATCGGCACTGATTAAATTATCTTTCTTAAAAATAGACGATAGCGAAATTAAAATTAAGGTCCAGGCATTAATATTCGACCTGATTTTTTTTTTAGAACAGCTAATTACTAATGAAATTTCACCGTAAAAATGTTGCAATGGCATTTTAAAGTCGTTGTTAGAATAGATATAGTTATATTATACTAATAGAATAAAAGTATTGGTAATGTTAGTAGGGACAATTAGATTAGATTTCTATTAATCTCTAAAGCATAATTCATGTGTAATCTTTTATGATTTCGGTTTCGGTTAGAAGATAGAAAGATTTATGGACCTGTTAAATCCACAGAAGAGACAGAACAAATTTTCGAATTTCTGAGCAATAAAGTGTAACTTCGATAGACTTATAATTAAGATAATTGATTTTGATGAAATAACAAAATATTCATGCAGTTGGCCAAAGACTTCTTCGAATTTTACCATTGCACTAAAATTTGTATCGTTATTTATCATCATTTAGTAAATCTGATACTTTAATAAAAGAGTATCTACAATCAAAAGTTTCATCTATCTAATCGATATAAGTTATCTTTTTCAGTCGCAGAGTATTTGGCCTGACATATCAATTTGTGGTGATGAAAAAGAATCATTTGCACAGAGTTAGAGATATCAATGATCTTACTATTGCTGGTGCATACTTAATTGAATTGAAGGATTGGTGTTTAGTGCATAATGAAGAATAATACTGCTATCACGAGGTCGAGAATGGATTAAGGCGAATAAGTTTTTATGGAGAAGAAACGAAACAGAAAGTTAGATTCAGATTAACAGTTCGAAATAAAATCCAAAATTTTTCCAGTTGAAATAAAAATTTGAATAGAGTTTCCCAAAATGAATGATTAGTTTTTTTAAAAAAATTTACCTAAATGAAAGAATTCAGCGACTAGAAGAATTATCATTCAGAGAGGAAAACTCTCGACAGTCACCACTAATCAGCAGGTATATTAAGGTAAACCCTGACTGATATCTAAGCTCTTCTTCTATCCAGAAGTTTTTTAAAAGAAAATGAAGATTTATCAGCTACTAACCATCCTACTGTAATTTTTTCTTGCTTGTCATCACAATTGTTAAATTGAGCAAAACTTACAAAAATGTTGTTTGTATGTACAAATGAATACACTTAAAGACCTTATCATTCTCGCTGTCTATATTCAAAGGTATTGGCCATACCCTGAATTTTTCAAAGATTTCGGAATAATTCATCAGCCTTACTTGCAATATTAAGAATGGAACAGCTAGGAGTGAATCAATTGACATAAACATTTTGAAATAATAAAATTGAAGAAAGCTTTTCCTTCCAAAGAAGCTAACTGCAAATCAACAGTTCGAAGGAATAGCAACGCTCGAAAATTAAATTCATTCCAGAAAATTGCTTTAATGGTGATTAAATGATGTGTCCCTAATCAGAAGAACTGAACGCATTACATTACTTCAGAGGACAGTCATATTGACATGAAACAATGGTGGTATTACATATGAATAGCCTTGAATTGATTATTTTTGAATGAGAACAGATTCCTGACAGGTGGTAGCAGAGTCAGCATCTACTACCCAGTAGTCGATCGAGCAGAAAGTAGTAGCTGTTGTGATCAACGAGAGACTGGACACTTTTGTTTTGCCGTTTTATTCTCCGACATGCGATTGATTACGTTTTCCATGTTATTCATTTGTTTTATGGAGAGTTATATCGCAGGGTGGTTATGGAAAGACAGTTCAAAGTTCATTTCTCTTAATAAACAAGGTTTTGTTATAAGCTTATTTGTTATAGAGGAACAAATAAATCAATTTGTTTAGAATGAAGAAATTAGCAAATAATTTATGGAATTCATGCATTGAGATTTGTCGGGTTTGGCTCTATAATTTTTACTTCTGGTTTCAGTAATGGTTGAAATAAAATTCGAAAAGAGTGAAGAAATGGAAAGCGTTGTAGCACTTCCGCAGAAATATCTTGTTGTCGATATAGCATAATGACAAGAAAGTCCAATGTAGAGGTGTAGCTGATCAGTTTTAAGTATGAATTGTACAGATCGGCATTTTCCATCTCAAATAGTTTGGTGCAGTATGTTGTAACATTGGGTAGAACAAAAAACGCTGCAACGATGGAATGTGTGTTACATCGATAAGACATAAGCGGAAGAAATGAAAGATATTGTGAACAGTTATCCGATCTATCTATCTGTTGTATCAAAGGATGATATAGTTAGGTGATAAGAAGATAAGTCTGTCCTCTGTACTTTTCTGTCAACTTATGTTTGATACAACAAATTACCTGTCTTATTGGGGTAGTAAACAACATATACAAAACTTACCAAAAGTGAAGCAGCAAGAGAAAAGCATAGCTTGTGTGAAGCCTCGCTGACGTGTGTTGAAATTGGCCAAACGACGATCAACCCTAACAGTTTTTTGTACTTGTCGAAATTTCATCAAAACAACAAGCATTACGAAAATGCTCATAGTTGAAATAAACATTCGTGCAAATAGAAGGACAAAAAGCGTTCTTCTTGACATCATTACGTAACATCTGGAAAACAACGTATATTAGGTAAGCGTAGTTATCACGTAGTATTAGCTGTCATAGTATTGGCTGTCACGTAGTATTGGCTGTCGTAAATGTAAATATCGATTCTACGAATGATAAGAGTAAATGAAATGAAGGCGAAACTGTTGAACCACGTGCAAACAATGATGTGATCACTCCTTAATTAATCTTGAGTTGAGTTCTCTTAACTGAATGGTGCATAAAATAATTCTTAGCGAATAGTTCTTGGCTAAGAGAATTAACGTGAATATTTAACAAGTCAGAAAGAAAAACGAACGTGCACTTATTGTTAACAAATGGTACGTTAAATTTAGCGATAATGACGTAAACCATGAAGCCAAGCTGAAAAAGGCCAGCCATGGAAAGCTGGACAGTAAGGTACAGTTTTGGATGCAGAAAATAGCTGATTGGATTGTATATCACCAATAGTCGATCAGTACTGTTCACTAGCAGTGTTATCGGAAGAAGTAAAAAGGAAAATAATTCGTAGTGACTCGCAATCTGAAATCACATTCGAACAGTTTACCAAAGGAAATTGGTAAATTGTTCGAAGCAGCTAAACAAGTATGGCTTAAAAATGTTAGTTAGCCAAAAAGTACCTATTTTAATTACTGGATGAACTGAATTTAAAAGCCTGAAAAATTGATGTGGAATTAAATGCAGGCATTTTGGAAAACAAAAATGTGTACGCACTATATTATTTTAGGTGTTATCGGTTTATCAGAAAATTTTGGCTATTAGATGCTATTAGATGAATCAGTTCATCAAAATATAAGAGAAATGAATGTCAGCAAAAAAAAAAAATCAAGAAATCAACATTGGAAATAATGTTTATGAACATTCCGCAAAATAGAAAAAAGAACTTTTTAATTTCTTCAAGATTAACTTTCAATGCAGTTAGACTGTCTCTATTTTTCGAACTTAATCAGAAAAGTTTTTTGGAAGTAAATATTAAGTTAGAGGTTAAAACATGGACAATTAATTAACCTGATTGAAGAACAGAATTTATCGGTTGAAATGTTAGGAAATTACAAAATATTAGAGACTAGAAATTATAGCCAAAAGAAAAATAACCAACTGGGCCAAGACAGTTCCACGGCGTTCTGTTAATGTAGAAAGATTCATTGGTGTACTTCTTGCAATCATTTTCATTCCATAATTCCATAATAATTGAGAAAGCTCGTAGCATGCAATTAAATCCTAGAAAAAGTCATCGCAGACGGACGAACTTTTCAAATTCTTCCCAATAAAAAGTTATATTTGTATACAGCAAGCACTTCTGTGCCATCCGAAAGAAGCAACAAGCAAGCTGAGCTGATACAATCTGGATGGAAATATCGGAGAGAGTCCAATCACAACTCTGTAACTTACCTCCAATTGCAGCAGCCAAAAGTAGTAAAGCCAAGATAGCATACCGTAGCCTTAATTTACTACTTGCAAGAAGAGCATAAAGTACAGGAAGATTAGCAATAAGAAGTAAAGTGCCCAAAGCCAAGCAGAGAATGCTTATAGTTATTGCATGAATCTGCGAATAGCTATCCATCAACCCTGAAAATTTCACACTCTACAAATCACTCAACAGATCACTGAGACATTTTCATCCTCTTTAAAGCAAAAGCTTTACCTCATCTATTCACTGCTTAAATACACGAGCGTGGCTTACATACCGTATGCTGCGTGTCCTACCTCGTATACGGTATGTGCTACGGTATGGTCATCACACTACAGTCACACATCCACAACACAAGAGATAACGCAGAATATACGCAAGTTTGGCGTGTATTTCACGTAATTATCTATTCACTCGACGTGTTCCTCCCAGTTTCCAGTTCCGCGACAGGAATCTAATAATGGCGCTGTGAAAGGATCAAATGATCCAACGGAACCAGCAGCGACTTTTGGTATAGAACGTGAAAAAATGGATTTCATTTCCTTATTTTCGTAATGGATAATATTTCTGGAATTAGTGAAGTGAGTGTGTAGTCGAATGGGTGACAATTCTTATACTTGAAAATGATTCATTCTTCTCACTTATCTATCATTTTTTTAATGAAATTTTTGAGAGTAATCATCAAGTCATCCACTCTCGTGAAGTGTACAATAGAGAAAAGCTAATTATATGTATTTCATGTCACATGTAATTATAATTAATTAATATTTATATGAATGGAAGAGAAATGGTAGCCAACAAAAAGGACTGAATAAACAAATCTAAGAAATAAAACGAATTACTTTTCATCACCGAGGACCGAGGTGAGAGAAATCCGAGGGGAAAGATTAGAGGATATTTCGAGTCATTTCCATTCCATTCCATCACATTACATACACACACACACACACACACACATACACACACACACACACACACACACACACACACACACACATACACACATACATACATACAAACATACACAAGCACGTAAGTGTACACGTGTAACACAGAATGACATGCGTTTATCTCGGTTCGCTAAATATATGTACGTCTGCATATGTGCAGTGAGGACTTAAATTGAAAGCCAGATTTGTTGCTGTATGTAGCGCTTGACTTTAGACTTTAGATGGGAAAAGACGCGTAGAGAACGTAAAGAAGCCAAGGACGTAAGAGTGACGAACACTTTCACTAATAAACGACGTGAAGGCTTGACCTGATCTATTGGAAGTGGAGCTGATCGCTGACGTATATTAGAAGTGGTAACGAAGGAAGAGTAAAAGTGAACTTACCAAATGTAAGCGATTGATTGTCACTTACGTTTCATAAGTCATCAAAATTGTAACGCAATTGACTTCTAATTGAAAGTTTTAAGGACACAGCAGGTGACGCAAATATTGTGATAGCAGTGCAACGCAAATGACGCAAGAAGTAAGTGAATGTATTAAAAATTGCCATTGAAGTAAACTAAAGTAGTTGCAGGTGCATCTATCCATCCTAACATGAATATTTTAATTAACATTCTCCAATAAAACAGCTCATTTTCTATAGATTATAAGCATTGCTTACTTCTAACTTTATTACCAGCTGCTTTGCAACTTCGAATTTTTGATAGAACCAAGAAATGAAGGCTTTCTCAAGATCTGACTTACGAGTAAGACTATTATTTTAACGATCTTTGTTTGGCTTTGACGACTTTCTATTCTCTTTGGCAGAAGTTAAAATAACAAACAACAAATCTTATTTTTGTTTACTTGAATATATTACCTAAAAGTTTGAATTCAAAGGACAAAATCGAGTAAGTTCATCTTACAAATCAACATTTCTGCTCATCTCATCTCGTTTTATAGCATTCGGTCACTGATTCTTCTTTCTCGAATTTTTTGCTCTCTCAAGTTTTTTTGATCATTACTGTGCAGAATTTAAACATCGACAAAAATATGTCTCAGCTTTTCACTTTATTCAGTTTGCTTTTATCAGCTATTTCAAGAAAATAACTGGGCTGAATTCAATATCGAATATTGATTAGTGACGTATTCCATGCAGAGTATATGTTGTTGCTGCTTGAATTCTGAGTAAATTTAAATGTCCCTTTTAAATGTCATATGAAGTTTTTAAATTTAAATGTCACATGAAGAAGCATATGAAGGGAAGGAATCATTTCAGGCGAAGGTAATATAGTTTTCTTTGTCACTAACTACGGCGATTCTTCTAAGATTCGTATTCTGATTTTACGTCATTTCTCTTCTAAATTGTGTCTAATGAAGATTTATAGAAATGATGAAATTAGAAATAGAGACACAGAAATAGATGTTAAAATAGTCATTTGTTTTTTATTACAAGTTTAAAAAAAAAAGCATTTATTTTTGGAATGATTGAAAAATCTTTTTCTGAAGTGAAAGAGTTATATTTCAGTTTGACCTGGTTTTTCCATCAAAGGTCAGCAATGAATTTTGTGGGCTTAGAAAATCCTTAAACGAAATAAAGCAAATTATAATTATTTCTTCACATTTGATCATTTCAACTTCATTCCACTTTGAAATACGTCGAGCTCAGATGAAGGGAAAATATCATTTTTGGTTTAACAAAAACACATAACAGCATTTGAAGTTTAATACTGAAATAAGTAAAGGAAGGAAAAGACAGATGACAGTTCAATACTGGACAATAGCCAATAAGTTGATTAAACGTGTAATCAAAACAAAATTGAAAAGTGAACGATCCGAAAAACATAAAATAATAAACTTTCAGGTTTTTGTAAAGCTCAGTAAATTATCCTTCGAACAGTCATTCAGCAGCTAAACTCGCTCATTTCTTAATGAATTATCATTTCGACTTCATTTTTATTCGAAATAAAATTTGCTTAATATCTTAGTATGATTATGTTTTCACAGAGACACAATCTTTTCAGGTGCAAGTATCACTAGATTGTTACAAATATGTCAACGTCTTCATTAAAACTATATTACTTTGTGAAAACAAGTTTGTTTACAACAATGACAGAACTGTAAACAAAACTAGACTTTGTTTTCTGCCGTTGTTGTAGAAAATAAATGGAATTGATTGTTTCGACTTCTTTCAGAGTATTACTTTCTGTTGAAATTAAAAAATGTTACAACTGAACACTTAAACATCAAATTTATGCATTCCACTTCACTTCTTGACACTCTGACAACAGAATGAAATTGAAATTCTCTCCCTAATTTATTTCTAATCAAAAAAAAAAAAATAAAAAACAATTAACACGTACAGTCGTTGAAGCATTGTCTGTTTACATAAAAGAACTGAAATCAACTCTCTGATCAAACTTTCATCCATCTTCTGAAAGCTTTTAAGATAAGACTAAATAGTTGCTAAAATTAAAGATAACTGAGAACAAAAACAATAAATTTAGAATTACATGCCTTGTGAAGGTCTGTCTACCTAACTTAATTTAGAATATATTTTATGAACCATTACATGTCAATAAATTATAAACTGCCTTTCATTTTCGCAAGTTCATTTTTCTTCACTAACTATAGTGCATATATTTAAATGACTATTTGATTAGAAAGTAAATTCCAAATCTCAGAGAATCTCCAAAAATATTTTTAATGTGAATAAATACTTCTTTCTGAGAGTCTGCAGTAGTCTACTTCAATGTGCACCTTAAAATAGCCAATTGATAACCTGGCATACTGTCATTATCATAATCAAATTGAAATATTTATGCACAAATTAAAAGATCACATTAATTTTCATAGAATTATACAATGCAGTGGAAGAAGTCCTAAACTAAAGCTCAAAAGTCTCTCAGTGCTTTTTCGCTTTTGCTGAAAAACTGAAAATACTGAAAAGAATAGTATGAAATGGGATTGATAAAAATAATTACAGAGAGAGAATCATACTGAACAGAATACTTTCGTTGCCAGAAATTCATATGCAAGAAAAAACCTGAAATTGGTTGGGAAGCTAAAGTAAGTACCATTTAGTGAAAATGTAAAAGAAATACTGAATATCTGTTCTGTAATCAATGCAATGAATTACAAAATTTACGACAGTCTAACTAATTAATCAAAGTGATTTTTTGCTAAAAGCATTGATTATTCCATTTAACATTGTCTCTCAAATAATTATATAACTTTGTCTGCGAGTAATCTTGCATGCATAACTGCAACTCTGCTTGTTCATCACTCACTTGTAAAGTGTCCTGCTGCAAGCCAACTCCACCACATAACCTGTAGTCTCGACTTAGTACTCCTCTACAACAGACCGTTCTCTATCGGATGACAACCTGTAAAAGTCCCAACCAACTTTCTCATACGACCAATTACCCATGACTTTAGTTTGCATCTATCAACTAGCTACAGTTACCTCATCGTACTTCTGTCAAATGCTCAGTTCTAAAGAATTTTGATTTCAAGGTTTTATTTTCAAATGACTTTGTATTATTTCAGTTTGGTTCAGAATATGATTATCAATCCTTGATGAAACATTAATTCTGAGAATGTTTTTGATTTAAAGATTTTTCCTTTTACGAGAAAAAAGAGTTATCGTCACAATCAGACCAACTAATCCAGGGCTATTCCCGAGTTGACCACTGCTTCCATCGAATCACTGCACTGTCAACCAACAACAATGTCACATCCTTTACCCATCGTATCTTGGGGACATGTGACACTGCAGTTTTGTGCCATCTGACCAAGCACTTATACTTGCATGGAAACACCATTAATGATTAAGCAAAGAAAGTAATTTGAGTTTTCATCTGTTAGAGGAGAATGTTAGAGAAGTCAGTCTAATTCGATAGCCATTCTTGTTACCATGATAAAAGTAGGGACAGACAACAAGAGAAACTGTAGACAGGAATACTCTCATTCGATGTACATTAGCCATCAGCAAGTGAAACAAACGGTACCGAAGGGATGTAGAAGTAACTGAGGGAGACAAAGAGAGCAATTATCTCATAAAGAGAACGGTAACGAAGAGAGAGAGAAAGAGAAGGACGGGCGAAAGTGAGTGTACAACATTTTTGATCATTCGAAGTAATTAAATCTCCAAATCTGAGATAATAATGGACCCACGGTGCATTCTTTTAAAACGAACTCACATTGGTAAACAAAAATTTTATTGAAATTATAATGAATCAAATAGTATTAAAGTCATCCATTTTTGATTATATTAGTTTTTAGTTTTTTCCTCTATAAATGATAGCTACGAGCCAATGTCAAATAATGAATTTTGTGCAATTCATTCGACTTTTTACTTGAAAGTAAAACTTTCTTACCTTATTGATTTGTTAATTGAATTGTTGAACTGTTAAATTCGTTTCTTATTCGCTCCACAAAAAAAAGGCAAAGATTAAAATGAGTGGTATTGAAAAAGTGTAGTGTTTTAAATTATTACTTAGTTAGAATCATTTTTTACTTATTACTCACTGAATCATTGTTCATTCAAATTTTTACCTATTCATTGTGAGTTGCTTTTCATTTTTGATCACTCTGGGAATTAATGCCTTCTCAGTACTGATCATCTTAATCTACTACAGTTCGATCGATTATGAATACATTGAGATAGATCTGTTGAGGAAGAATTGAATGTGATTAACTGAAATACAATTAAAATAGTAAGCAGTACTTAAAAATAAATGTCGGAAATAAGTCAATATGTTTCCAATTGTCATTTGATTTACGTCACCAAAAATTAAAACTGAAATTTTTACAATATGCAAATAACTCACTCAATATTTTACTTACCATTCAATATATATATTTTATTAAACAAAGCAGACAGGATTATTTAATATTGCACAATTGATTAAATATTTCACCATACGATGACATTTAATCCCAGCTATTCATCAATTTCCTTTATGCAAATGTTACTCCATTTTGTCAACCAAAATTTTGAAAATTGTCCCATCTTTTCAAACATCGCTTATGTTGAAATTCTTTCTGATAATGCAGTGGATATATGTCAAAAAGCAATAATTAGCAAATTTCAGGTGATGCGTCCATCCGATGAAGTTCTCATCAGTGATACTATCAATAGATGTGAAAATGCGACTTTATTAAATGAACCCATTAAATCGAAAATGATTAGAATCTCATTCCTCACGTCGTATTACTGAAATGATAGAACAATATCCTTCCTAAGTAATCCTTTCGGATTCAAAAGAGCATTCATAAACTAGCAGTTGGACAAGAGAAAAACGAAAATGTAAAAGAAAAAAAAAAAAACGATAAACAATAGGCAGATTAAAAACTGTTTGAACCTTTGATCTTTAATTGAAATAAAAAGCTTTCATTTGAATATTTCTATCATTTCACAAAATTCTGTTCCATCATGTTCTTCACTGTATCTATAACACCAATCATCTGGTTCAATCTTCTACTATGCATCGCTTCTGATAAAAATGAAACTTCCCATCTACCTAATTTCGGTGCTGCTGATGAAATTATTACAAATAATACTAATTCTGGTGTATCAGATAGCTTTGATTACAACAACTTTGAACCATTATTTAGCTCAGAATTTCTGTTCGATCCTTCGCAGTTCATTGATTTTGCTCAAGTGAGTGAAATTGAGGATATAAGCAGTAGAGAATCGAATTCTGCGACTGATCTGTTCACAATTACTCCTCATCCTGGCTTCATCTCACCAAGTTATGATGATTTCATTGTCCACACTAATTTGGAGTCATTACTTGACTCAAATTTGGATTCATACAGGAACGTATGGAAAGATGCTAATGGAGAATTAAAAACGAATGATGATAAAGCACGATATCCTATCATTAGAGGTGAGACTTTTGCTTCAAATATGTGAAAAGATAAGTGAACAACTTCTTGTAATCTAAGTTATTTAGATGCTCAAAGTGGAACTTCTTCGCCACTTAATGTCAACACCGATGACATTATCACATATATGTACTTACCTGGTTCACAACAAAATGTCGCTCCAGTCTGTTTTCACCAACTTACTCTTTCCTCAGACGATACATCCGGTCAACATGGAAATACTGAAGAGAGTAACATCGATAACACATCAATGAAGAATCAAAAACAGGTCAATGAAGGATCAAAAACAGGTAATGGTGAATTGCATAACGATTTTTCTCTCTATCTCTTATAGTTCTTCACAATAACGAATCAAAAACCAAAATTCATTTCGTCGTTCAGAAGGCGACATTAAAAGTACAATTATTGCTTAAAACATGTGAGAAGATAAGTAAATAACTACTTGTTACCTAAATTACTTAAAATATTCAATATGATATTGTTTTGTGCACTGACATTTTTGTGATTTCTCACATTACTTAACTACAAAATGGTGTAATAGATTTATTAATTGCAAAAATACATGTTTTGACATGAATTTTTCAGATAACAGAAAGTATATTTGTTATTATCCCGGATGTACTGTGATCGCGACAAATTACAACGAATATGTAACACATAGGAAAGCACATGGTCAAGCTCTCATCTATGAATGCAGAGTGCCCGGTTGTGGGAGAACATTTGACCATAGAACATCATTTTGTAGTCACATACAAACGCATCAACCTAAGCATCAATGCAAAAATTGCGGCAAACTCTTCTGTAGGAAGAATATACTGCAAAAACACAACAAGCACTGTGGCACACCACTTCGTTAGTATCACAAATTTTTTTTAAAATTCGGAAAAAAACTCTTTTTTTGAAAAACAATATTTAAAATCGTTCAATTTAAAATATAATGTATATGGAAATGTGGTTTAAAACATCGGTGACCATGGTATAGCAATATACAATTCAGAAAATGCTGCGACATTTTTCTAACCTCAGTGCCTTTTGTATATGACAAAAGTCCTGTGGCAGGCAGTTAGCATATACCGTAACAACTGATGTTTTAATATCGCGAGAGATTAATCTTTTTTTTTTTTTTTTTTAAATAAATTACTTGTCCATTACTCGATTACTTGAAGTTGGGAGTACAAACAATGACGAAAACTAAACCTAATTTCGCCACAACAGAAAATTCATAATCATTTGTTGTGCTTTCCATTGGAAGTATAGCATCAAAAGTAAAAAGTAATACCAAAAGTTTTGTTTCAAACATATGATAAGATAAATAAACAGGTTATTATGATTTAAGCAATTTGAAATGATAAAAAAATGATAATATGGTAAGATTATTTTATGCACTGATATTTTTATGATTATTTATCACATGGATTAATAATTGCAAAGACCAATATCATAAGAGTTTTTTAGAGGAACGAAGCTACGAATGTGTCTATCGCGGATGTACTATGGTTACAAAAGATTACAAAGAATATATAGCACATAGGAAAGCACATGGTCAGCCCTTCATCTATGAATGCAAAGTGCCCGGTTGTGGACGGACATTCGATCGTAAACCATCATTTTACAATCACAAGCAAACGCATGAATCTCATCATGAGTGCAAGTGCTGTGGCAAATTCTTTAGTACCAAGAATGGACTACAAAAACACAAAAAGAACTGCCCAACAAAATTTCGTTAGTTTGCAAATTTAGCAAACTTTTGAGCACTCATATTAGCCTGAAATAAAATTGAAATGTGCTATGAAACATCTGTGACCGTTGAGTGACAATACAACGGAAAAACTCAATTACATTTTTTGTTATAGCTATACAAAAGATAATTAAACATCTTCTTGTGATTTAAATTATTTGAAATGGAATGTAGTAAGATTATTTCATGGAAGTGATATTTTTATGGCTTATCAAATTACTCAATTAACCATAGTGGAATGTCAATTACAAAAACAAATGTGAATTTTTTTTTAGATAAACGAGGTTATGAATGCCTTTATCCTGGATGTGCTGTGATCTCGAAAAGTTTCAACGATAATCTAAAGCATAAAAGAACACACAATGGACCTTTCATTTATGAATGCAAAGTGCCCGGTTGTGGACGAACATTCTACCATGAATCATCGTTACGCGATCACAAGCAAACGCATGGACCTCGTTGTCAATGCGAGGGCTGTGGCAAATTCTTTTATCGTATGAGTGTATTAAAACTTCACAAGAAATCGTGTTCCAAAGCTCTTCGTTAGTTTTCCAAAGTTAACAAAACTTAGGTCAGCCTAAAATAGAATGCACGTGAAGTGTGTTATGAAGGATTTGTGACGGCTGAGTGACAGTACAAAATTCATTAGAAAAATTCATTAAGATACTATATATATATATATATTTTCGCACTCAGTACTACTACCCACGACCTAAGAACCGAATGCTTAAAAATGTGTTGACAGTGGTGACAATAGCGTTTCAATATACATCAACAAATATTGAAAATATCAACAGAGGAAAAATTATCCTTTCACTCTTAACCAAATTGCTTTTTTTTTCTAATTCGTAGAATGTATGCAGAAAAACATACTATTCTATCCAGACTAAAAATTTTCATTCTAGAAAACGGGACACAATTTGGGCATTCTTCTCAAGCATGAGAAAAGAACGTAACAATCAGACGTTTTCGAGGCATCAGATTGTAGCGACCGATTAATGATTTCATTTTACCATTGGATTTTTTAAATATTTCTTCTCTATTTATTATTCCATGAATATCACAGAAATGCATAAATGTTCTAATTGGCAATAATATTCGGAGGCAAGCATTTAAATGTACAAAATGCGCTCACAACTGAAATAAACGATTTGTCATGCCAAAAGCTAATATGAAAAAGCATCATAAATGAGAAAAAAGTATTTACCTAAAAATTTATAACAAAATTGGCATCACGAAGTGGTTTTAAGCAAAGAAATGGTATTATAAGAAAAAAGTATACCACTTATAATTTAGCCTAAACCTTAACGTGCAAAATAAATGGCAAATATTATGTTTAATGGAAAAACTTCCCCGGGTATCCGACAGTAAAGAATTTTGTAAGTTAACCATTGAAAAGTGGATGTAGAAAAACATCAAAGATTTAAGATCTTCACAAGAACAATATTACTTTTCTATATATGAAAGGCACTGTTTCATATCTAATACAGAAGGCGACAAAACCAGCATTTATCATTAAAATCAAAATTGTCGTCAAAAAGAACAACAAATGTGCAGTTACTCCAATAAAATATGCAATTTTTCATGTAATCATATCATATGGAAAAGGATTAAGATAACACTTGCATTTAAGCTTAGGGTTAGGCTTAGGATGTGTGTGTACTCAGGACTTACACACACATTAGATGCTGCAACATTTTTCTCTTCATTATCACTCACTCAGATGTATTAGCTGTCGATGACTAATGAATCATTTGCTTAAAAGGTGTTGACAATGGTGAAAGTGATGCTTCAATGATACATCAACAAATTTTGGAGATATCAATAGAGAAATGAGTACTCTTTGCCCTCTCGGCTAAATTGATAATTCATGAAAGATATGCATTCCGTCTGCTAAGCCAAACTACGACTGTTCATTTATTTTAGCTGAACAAAGCAGCACCTAAAAAATTTTTGTGATCAGTTTATGATCTGATTTTATTTTCATAGTTGTTTATAATTAATTATCATATTATCACAGCTTAAAAAAAAGTAACTATTGACCCTTGAAAAATAAATGTAGCAGAATTTCCGAGGACTTCAGATCTCCTTAAAAACAATTTATTAAATACATAATGTGTCAAAGTTCTTTCCTTCTATAATAAAGCATAATTTACCAATATTTGTGACTTAGCAAAAACCTAAATGTGAAGGAAAAAAATTTTCCCTCAAAATATTTCCTCAATTAAGCGACAAATTTCCGCTTAACTTTTCCCAATTTTCTAGCACTGAAAAATTTAAAAAAGTAAATGGCTAAGATTAAAATCTTTATAAAAACAATTTATCTACGATGGGAATAAAGAGAAAATGATTAAGATAAGATATATACTAAGTGAAAATTTGCTCAAAAACTATTATTATTTTACAAATTGATAAAAAAGCCTAGCACTTAATACATCGAATCATTTTGCAGTTTGTCTGCAGTCTACTAAATCGTTTATGATTCGACTTTGACACCCATTATGTCAATACACAACAATAATTTTTAGTCTACCACCGAATAAGTTTCGTGCTGCAACTGGCCTACCTTTAATTACTCTTATGTTCTATATAGGAACAAAAAATGGTGCAATCATAATTACGAAGCATTAAACAATGCTGAGGTAAGTATTCTGCTTTTGTCTTTTGATATACGCATTCTTTATGTCATATCTTCTGAAATTACAATTCTATACATATTGTTAATTAAAGTAAATGGGTAAAATTCATTTGCAATTGAAAATTAAAAGAAAAACTGAAGCGCATCAAAGCTAATTGCGACCAAATAATTTTCAATTCATTATTTTATTATTATTTACAAAGTATCCAAATCGGCAAAAGAAAAAAGAAGTGAATATTACAAAATATTAGTTTGATCATTTAACAAATGCTAAAGTACTGACTGTTATACCCTATCTTAACTTACCTGATATGATGAACAAATTAACCATTGTCACAACTCATACCCTTATACTTTTAACTGTTTGGTGACATAGTCTGGTGGCAAAAACAGAAAAAAAAAATAGCATTTAATCATCACAATTAAATTGGGCGGTAGATTTGACAATTCCTTTCAACAAATTTATTTGTAATTTTTCAACAAAAAAAACAAATATCACAATAAATAGGAGTTAAATTCATTACTTTATATTTTCAAATACTAGTGGAATTACTGCTGCAAAACAAATCATATGTATGGAATATTATTAACTTAATTATTAGGTAAAGAAATTAATTTAAAAGAACAGATGGAAAGAAAGATACATGGAATTAAATATGATCAATTGAAATGCCATTAAGGTACCATGCAGTACCTAAGAATAAATATTGGAAATAATTCAACATATTTCCAATTGTCATTTAATTTACGTCACCAAAATTTAAAACTTTTACAATATGCAAATAATCATTCAATATACTATATTTTATTAAACAAAGCAGACAGGATTATTTAATATTGCACAATTGATTAAATATTTCACTATACGATGACATTTAATCCCAGCTATTCATCAATTTCCTTTATGCAAATGTTACTCCATTTTGTCAACCAAAATTTTGAAAATTGTCCCATCTTTTCAAACATCGCTTATGTTGAAATTCTTTCTGATAATGCAGTGGATATATGTCAAAAAGCAATAATTAGCAAATTTCAGGTGATGCGTCCATCCGATGAAGTTCCCATCAGTGATACTATCAATAGATGTGAAGATGCGACTTTATTAAATGAACCCAATTAAATGCATCGAAAATGATTAGAATCTCATTCTTCAGGTCGTATTACTGAAATGATGGAACAATACTCTTCCTAAATATCAGATTTACGTACGCGCTATTGTAACACTTCCTTTCGGATTCAAAAGAGCATTCATAAACTACCAGTTGGACAAAAGAAAAACGAAAATGTAAAAGAAAAAAAAAAAAAACGATAAACAATAGGCAGATTAAAAACTGTTTGAACCTTTGATCTTTAATTGAAATAAAAAGCTTTCATTTGAATATTTCTATCATTTCACAAAATTCTGTTCCATCATGTTCTTCACTGTATCTATAACACCAATCATCTGGTTCGATCTTCTACTTTGCATCGCTTCTGATAAAAATGAAACTTCCCATCTACCTAATTTCGGTGCTGCTGATAAAATTGTTACAAATAATACTTATTCTGGTATCTCAGACAGCTTTGATTACAACAATTTTGAGCCATTGTTTGGCTCAGAATTTCCATCCGATCCTTCGCAGTTGATTGATTTCGATCAGTTGAGTGAAATTGAGGATATAAGCAGCAAAGAATCGAAACCCGAGATCACAAATGCTCCTCATCCTGGCTTTTCAAACAGCCATGGTTTATTGGGCCACACTAATTTGGACTCATTACTTGGTTCATATACAGATTCAAATAGGAATGTGTGGAGAGATGCTAATGGAGAATTAAAAACAAATGATGATAAAGCACGATATCCTATCATTAGAGGTGAGACTTTTGCTTCAAATGTGTGAAAAGTGAACAGCTTCTTGTGATCTAAGTTATTTAGATGCTCAAAGTGAAACTTCTTCGCCACTTAATGTCGACACCGATGACATTATTACATATATGCACTTACCTGGTTCACAACAAAATGCGGTTCCGATCTATTTTCACCAACTTACTCTTTCCCCAGATGACACATCCAGTCAACATGGAAATACTAAAGAGAGCAACATCGATAACAAACACTTCCTGAATAGCTTGAGTATCCACGACTGCAGGGGAAATACCAATGAAGGATCAGAAACAGGCAATGATGAATTGCGCAACTATTTTTCGTTCTATCTCTTATAGTATTTCACTTTCATTAACAGCATGAAATTGTAGAAGTAATAGCGAATCTAAAACCAAAATTCATTTCGTCGTTTAGAAAACGATATTAAAAGTATGATTATTGCTTAAAACATGTGAGAAGATAAGTAAATAACTACTTGTTACCTAAATTACTTAAAATATTCAATATGATATTGTTTTGTGGCAATGAGATTTTTGTGATTTCTCACATTACTTAACTACAAAATGGTGTAATAGATTTATTAATTGCAAAAATACATGTTTTGACATGAATTTTTCAGATAACAGAAAGTATATTTGTTATTATCCCGGGTGTACTGTGATCACGGAAAATTACAAAGGATATGTAATACACAGGAAAGCACATGGTCAACCTTTCATCTATGAATGCAGAGTGCCCGGTTGTGGGAGGACATTCAACCATGAATCATCATTTCGCAGTCACAAGCAAACGCATGAACCTCATCTTCAATGCGAGTGCTGCGGCAAATTCTTCACCACCAGGAAGGGACTGCAATATCATACGATGAGTTGCCAAACAAAATCTCGTTAGTTTGCAAATTTAGCAAAATTTTAAACAAATGTGAGTCTGTCTATGAAATGTATTATGGAACATCTGTGACTGCTGCACAGATACTTGATACAACGGAAAATTCACAATTACATTTTGTTGCACGACTGTTGAAAAGACTTAAATTTATACTGCCGTTTATATCCACCTTTTTTAGAGATAGCATACCTTCTAGCAGAAATTCCTTCAGTTTTTCCTTGAGAAATTTAGTCGTGAACTTTGTTGTATATCTGGGACATTGTAACTCTTTCCACAGTTAAGGCACTGCATCGTAATGGTTTCATGTGCATGCGTAATTATTATTCCAAGCAAATCTTCCTTCCCTTGAGCAATGAAACTTACATCAGCAATTAATAGCTCAATACCTGGCATAGTTTCATCTGCAAAACTAATACCAAGGTCCACTTGCTTCGGTAATGATACAGGCTAACATTCATCTCAATCCTGTTCACCCCTCCAAGTGGAAGAAACAAAAATTCGTTTTTCATTAATTTTAAATTATTAAAATGGGGGGGGGGTAGCAAAACTTCGGCTTTAAATAAAGGAGTTTGTAACTTTCAATAACCCTAAGGAAAAAAAGAAAGAAAAAGAAATTTAGCTACTCTACTTACCAAAACTTATATCTAATGCAAGACCGATATTTATATATACTGGAAAATAATTAAGCAATTTCTAAATTATTTGAAATGGAATTTATTTCATTGATTATTTCATTGAAGAAATATTTTTATGGTTTATTAGATTACTTAATTAGCTCCCAAACACCATAATAAAATGCCAATTGCAAAAACAAATATCTTAAGAGTTTTTTAGATAAACGAAGCTATGAATGCCTCTACCCCGGGTGTGCTGTGATCGCGATGAATTACAACGAATATGTAACACATAGAAAAGCACATGGTCAACCTCTCATCTATGAATGCAGAGTGCCCGGTTGTGGACGGACATTTGACCATGATTCAACATTTCGCAATCACAAGCAAACGCATGAACCTCGTTGTCAATGCGAGTGCTGTGGCAGATTCTTCACTAGAAATGCACTAACTAAGCATAAGGAGAGCTGCCAAGCAATATCTCGTTAGTTTGCAAATTTGGCCAATTTCAAACAGATATATCAGTCTGAAATAGAATGCACGTGGAATGTGTTATGAAAATGTTGAGTGACAATGTGTAACTATAGGCGAAGATAATTAATTAAACATCTTCTTGTGATTTAAATTATTTGAAATGGAATGTAGTCTGATTATTTCATGGAAGTGATATTTTTATGGCTTATTAGATTATTTAATTAGCTGCCAAACACCATAATAAAATACCAACTGCAAAAACAAATATGCGAGATTTTCAGATGAACGATGCTACGAATGCTTTTATCCCGGATGTACTATGATCACGAACAGTTATAAGGAATATATAACACATAAGAAAACACATGGTCAACCTTTCATCTATGAATGCAGAGTGCCCGGTTGTGGACGGACATTCGACTGTGGACCATCATTTTACAATCACAAGCAAACGCATGAACGTCATCTTCAATGCGAGGATTGTGACAAATTCTTCACCACCAGGAAGGGACTGCAATATCATACGATGAATTGCCAAACAAAATCTCGTTAGTTTGCAAATTTAGCAAAATTTTAAACAAATGTGAGTCTGTCTATGAAATGTATTATGGAACATCTGTGACTGCTGCACAGATACTTGATACAATGGAAAATTCACAATTACATTTTGTTGCAAGGCTGTTGAAAAGACTTAAATTTATATTGCCGTTTATATCCACCTTTTTTAGAGATAGCATACCTTCTAGCAGAAATTCCTTGAGGAAATTAACCGTGAGCTTTGTTGTATATATCGGACATTGTAACTCTTTCCACAGTTAAGGCACTGCATCGTAATAGTTTCATGTGCATGCGTAATTATTATTCCAAGCAAATCTTCCTTTCCTTGAGCAATGAAACTTACATCAGCAATTAATAACTCAATACTTGGCATAGTTTCATCTGCAAAACTAATACCAAGGTCCACTTGCCTCGGTAATGGTACAGGCTGACATTCATCTCAATCCTGTTCACCCCTCCAAGTGGAAGAAACAAAAATTCGTTTTTCATTAATTTTAAATTATTAAAATGGAGGGTAGCAAAACTTCGGCTTTAAATAAAGGAGTTTGTTACTTTCAATAACTCTAAGGAGAAAAAGAAATCCCCATGATTTTAGCTACTCTACTTACCAAAACTTATATCCAATGCAAGATCGATACATATATATGCTCAAAAATAATTAAGCAATTTCTTATGATCTAAATTATTTGAAATGGAATGTATTTCATTGATTATTTCACTGAAATAATATTTTTATGGTTTATTAGATTACTTAGTTAGCTGCCAAACACCATGATAAAATACCAACTGCAAAAACAAATATCATAAGAATTTTTTAGACAAAGGAAGCTACGAATGCCTCTACCCCGGGTGTGCTGTGATCACGAAAAGTTACAAAGAATATGTAACACATAGGAAAACACATGGTCAGCCCTTCATCTATGAATGCAGAGTGCCCGGTTGTGGGCGAACATTTGACCATGATTCAACATTTTTCAATCACAAGCAAACGCATGAACCTCATCCTCAATGCGAGGATTGTGGCAAATTCTTCAGCACCAGGAATGCACTGAAATCTCACATGAAAATCTGCCAAACAAAATCTCGTTAGTTTGCAAATTTAGCACAATTTTAAAAGTATATGTCAACCTGAAATAGCATGCATGTGAAATGTGTTGCGAAACATTTGTAACCGCTGAGTGACAATACAAAGTTTATTTAATGCATTCATTAAATACTGCATATTTATTTCTTTTCATATCAGTGCACTTCATGCGTAGCAGCTGCCCATAACCTAAGAACCGAATGCTTAAAAATATGTTGACAGTGGTGACAATAACGCTTTAAGATACATTTACAAACATTGAAAATATCAACAAAGAAAGAAATAAAAATAACACTTTTAGTCGAATTATTTTGTTTTTCTAAAACGAAAAACATGCAGAAAAATATATCATTCCGCCCACAAAACCAAATCATTTTTTTAGCGCTATAAAACAACTAAAAATTTTCATTCTAGAAAATGAGATACAATTTGGACATTCTTCGCAAACATGAGAAAAGGCCTGTAGCAATCAGACGTTTTCGAGACATCAGAATGCAGTGACCGATTAATGATTTATTTTTTTTTCTCCATTTATTATTCCATGAATATCACAGAAATACACAAACAACAAACTGACAGTAAAATTCGGATTCACAGCAAACGATTTGTCATACAAAAAGATAATAAAAAATACGTAAGTGAGAGGAAAGTATTCTCCTAATAATATATAACAAAACTGGAGAATATGAGGTGGTTTTAAGCAGAGAAGGTTAAGATAGATTTTTAGCTTATTTTTTATAATTGTTGATTATTAATTAACTGACTAAGTTCAATAGGAAAAAACTGTTGAATTTTATTTTATTTGCATTGTAATTGCTTTGCTCACATTCTGTCGTGGATATTTGACAACTTATGCAAAAAAAAAAGTTTAATAAATTCATTTTGGAGCAATCTTACAATGTAAAAATTAATAATATTTGTAAATTGTGATGATTTCAATTAATTTTTGACGCTAAATTAATTTTAATCACAAATTTCGATATGGATCTCTAGGAAATTTTGACAATTTCTAAGAGTTTTTGTGAATTTAATACTGAAAAATTTTTAAATCTGTTAGATTCTGTTTTAATTAAATGCCAAAAATGTTAGAAAAAATGTAATCATTTAAAAATAAATATATTTTGAACTTAATTGGTTATTTAATTTGCATTCTTTCTGATCTACACACATTCCATCGGGGATATTTGACAATTTATGCAAAGAAAAAAGTTTATAAAATTCACTTTGAAGCAGTTTTTTAATGATGAAATTAAAAAAAATTTGCATTGGTGATGATTTTAATTTTTTTTGACATTAAAATTAATTTTATTTACAAATTTAATGTCATTTAATGTTACAGATTTAGTGTTCGATTATTTGCATAATGAATTTAATAAATTTTATGAATAAAAAAAATAAATTTTATGGTCCTTGAATAGTAGTAAAGTCGAAATTTCATTGAATTATGAAAGAAATATGGATTTTTATACATTTTGCTTTAAAATCGACATGTTCTTCTAGTTTTTGGGAAGTTTTTCACTCCAATATAATCATAAAAACAATTAAATATCATTTATAAATGATTGAACGATAAATAAATCATAAAACACAATGTTTATTAACCTAAACCCAGAGAAAAATCAATGGAATAATACATATTTCTATCAAAAAAAGAAAAAAATTTTAACTATTACAATGTATGATAGTAAAATTACATGAACACTAGGCACTGTAAATCAGGTGCATACTTGTGTCCATAAATTAACCATTCTTTTTTTTGTTAAACAACACGGTATTTTAATAGTTGGCCATAACTAAGGAAAGGATAGCAGGACCAAAAACTTTAGAAGGTATAGTGGACGTAATGCTTACTATATTTTGAGGGTGAAAAGAGCAATCATTACCGTATTTTGCATGTTATAAAAACAGATTTGGTTTTACAAATGAAGTGGTATTTTGAAATGTCTGAAGCTGGATTATTACCTATTGAAATCCATCATCATTATTTGGTAACAGGTAATGCTGAGAAGTTGTAGGAATTGAGAATTCCAGACCGGTTTTGATGGAAGTTCAAGTGTTAACAACGGAATAAACGTGGAAAATCCAAAAAGAATAGTAATTGGATGAAATATCAACCGATTGGCTATTATCATTGCAGTGCTAAATGCTCGTTGCAAAATGTCTCTGCATAAAAAGAAGTGTATCTGAATATTGTATGAGGGTTGAAAATACAAGAACCATCGGTTGATCTCTCTCTTATTTCAAGCATAGTAAGTTTACCGCTGTCAACTTCAATAACATGCACGTGAAATTGCACTTTTAGATAAGATTAGACATATCTCATATGCTAATCTGAGGATAAAGAAGCAAAAAAAAAGGGATTTAAAAAAGCAATTATGCCTCAAAATGACAATTACTCCTCTCATCATATCGAAATAATTAAGCTTGAAATAATTAAGCTTAATTAAACATACAAGAATTAAAGGGGATCTTTAATCATAGTCAATAGCGCTTTAGGAAATTCTTTGCTAGTGAACTCCCTCAAGTCCTCACCTTTCTACAGCATGTAACTTTATAAGTTTCTACAAGTCCAATCACCACTGCTCCCTTAGCAGTATCATCTAACTTTGTTATAATAATTAATCCTGTAACTAACTAACTAACTAACCATTTTACTAAATGCCTCTACAAGCATTTTGAGCGGTATTCGCATCGAGAACCAAAATAACATTATGAATAGCAGTGCCATCCAAGTTCCTTATCGTTCTATATATCTTTGATAAGTCCTCCATAACATTAACATTACTCTGCAGCCTGCCTGCTCTATCAGTCAGAACAACATCTATGCTATCTTTTATAGCTTAACTTACTGCTCTACACGCCACACTTGCAGAATCGTTTACCGTACTCTCAAATAACAACAAAGCAATCAGAACGTCCTGTCCACATGTTTAACTGTTCACTAGCATCAGCCCTAGACGTGACGTGTCATACGTGACGAACATGACGGATTATTCTTATATCCGTACGCAAGCGTTAGCAAGAGCTGTGATTGACTTTACCATTACCATTACCACTACACATACTACCATTATTATATGTGGTCCTTTGTCTAAAATTTATCGCTTCTACTTTGTTCATTAGCTGCTGTGTTGATAATAATATTATGCTCAACTTCTTTATCAAATTTGATCTTGCGAACCTATCAATAATCAACTTGCAAGTTTTATGACCAATATCCATACTAATGACCAATTCCTCTAATTCATCCAAAAGCGATTGATCGAACTTTTTTTTTTGTCAGAAAAAGTACTTTTTACTCCACAACTGAAGCGAGAAGTTTAAAGGCTACTAAACAAACTCCTTTTAAAATTACAATATAAAGAATAATATGCACTACGTGTACTTGTAAAGTTAAATACAACGTTTTACGTGTTGCATTTTTAAAGTAAAGTGCATTTAATTTCTAATCTAAATATGTTATAAAATAGGATGTTGATTTACAGGTGATCTCATGAGTTATAATGAGAAGATTTTGGACCATTATCAACCTCAATTTTGTCGCAATACCCAGCTAAATGGACACAGCAACCAGACCCATGATCAGGTAATCCGCCAATGTACATGTACATACCTGAATGATTCTTTACAGTATCATGACCTCTTAAGATTTTTATTGAATCAGCGTTATATAGTTTCTACGTCCCATACAACTGTTCTATTTATGAATGTTAATATTATATTATATACAATTTAATAACATTAACTTATTAGAGAAAAATTCTACACTTTCACACCACCACCCTTGATACGGGGCCAGGGTAGAAGGAATCGAAAACTTGCACAGCAACACAGAAAACCACTGCCTTACCACTTGAATTGATGATATACCCTTACACCACCACATAAATAGCGGTAAAATCAGAAACGCCTGCACGAAATTTGCAGACATTATGCAAGCAAAATTATAAATTCCCTGTCATCTTTAAATTCATGCAAGAAATATGTGATAAAAGACCACACAGCAGGTGAAATAAACTTTAATAACCACTGAGCAATTTTAAGTAACGTATCAAAGAGTGCAGAAAATAGCTAGTGCAATTTATCGTGTTTCCCTTTTGATATCCATTTTATTATTTTTTTACAATTGAAATTGATCATTCAAATAATATTGCAGAAAAAATTTTACCGCAAAACAAAGATAATCATTGCTCGGATATATTACCGTAAGAAAATGTCGCATAATTTCAAAATAATTGTATTTCATAATGAAAATTCAATTTTAATTCACATTTTATCTCAAATTCATTGTCAAAATTAGTTAAAAATGATGCATAAACTTAACATTGGAAGTATGAAAGCTTAAATAATAAAATAAACCTTAATAATTTTCAAAATAAAATATTGATTTTTATGAAAATCCTACAATTTTCAAGAATTTTTGTGTATTAGACTAGGAAAAAATTGTAGTATTATCAAATTTCATTCTAATTAAGTGTTAAAACTTTCAAAAATATCAATTCATTAAAAAAAGTATTTGTCGAACTTAATTGACTATTTAATATGCATTGCACCGGAGCTGGTCATTAGGGTGTGGTCATTTGACAGCTCAAAATAATAAAAGAAACTTTTACAATTAAGTTTTGCCCAATGTTTCACCAGCAAAATTAATAAAATTTCTAATTTGTCATGGTTTTAATTCATTTTTACGATTAAAAGTGATTTTTATTTCAAATTTAGAAATTGATTTTTGTGAAAATCCTATTATTTGTAAAGGTTTTCGCATAGTAAACCGGGTAAAAAGTCCTTACATTATCAAATTTTATTTTAATTAAATGTAAAAACTATTAAAAAGTATCAATTCATCAAAAAAAAAAGAATTATTTTGAACTTAATTGATAAATTTATATGCATTGCATAGGTATTGGTCATTTACGGTGTGGTCAACTGCAACATAAATAATAAAGTAAACTTTAATAATTAGGTTTTAAGCAATATTCCAGTTGTGAAATTAATAAAATTTTTAA